CTGGACACTTCTGTATGAGCAGAGAAGGTTACAGAAAGCTCTACGCAGATAGCTTGGTTTGAGTGCAGGATGGTTGTAATAAAATAATTTAGATATAAGTTTTGTTTTGCTAAGAACTTGTGTCAATCCCATGGTTGGCCCACACCTTTAATCCCAGCTCTCAGGAGACAGAGGCAGGCTGATTTCTGTGAGTTTGTGGCCAGCTTTCTCTACAGAGCTAGTTCCAGGACAGGCTCCAAAGCCATACAGAAACACCCTGCCTCGAAAAACCAAACCAAACCAAACCATACCAAACCAAAACAAACAAAAAGAACTCATGTCAAGTATATTGAAATGATGAAGGAACAGAGACACTAAAAACTTGATAATTAATGGAGTGATGAGGGTTGTATTAAAAAGCAAAGTCCAGCAACCCTACCACTGTTTTTTTTTACATTACTCTTGAGGTATTAGAGTCTTCCCCGTAATGTTAATGTACTAGGGAATATTATTTGGCATACTTGAGACAGTATGGCCAGGTATTTATGAATCTGCTGCACATCTGATCACCGCTGGCTCTAAACATGTGGCTTAGCTTTTACTTCAATTAAGTGATCTTGTTTACATTTCATCCTTGAAAGGAATAGAGCAAGACAAACAGCTAATGAAAAAGTGAGTGGTATTGATGTTTGAGTGGCATATTCACCTGCTGTTAGTGTCTCCCCTGAACTGTACCATATTTAAGCAATGTTAGTTTCTATCCAATGTACAAAGTGTAGAGAGTAAAAGTGGAATTGAGAATTAAACATTTATGTGTGCCTAGGTATAAAGTTACCTTTTAAGTCTTCAATTAGTGATAGTCTTCTGTTTTTAATATTTTGGGCTAGTGAAGACATGTAGTTTCCTTAATAGAATCATTGATTATAACTGGCTAGTAAAAAATAACAGTTTTGGAAGATACAGGGGATATACAGCCTATTAGCTGAAAACTTCTCTTTTTTGCATAACTTGCTCCAAATTTTGCTGCTATTCAGGACATGGTTCTATACACCAACACCCAAGTGCAAAATAGGTAAATCAACTGTTTATTTTCTTTCCTTCATTTCCCACAATTTCACCCATCACTGAGAATACAAACTCTACATACCAAAACCATGCTGTCTTCATTGTAGCCCACTTACACAAAGGATATTCCCTTCCAAAGACAGCATCACGATTAAGTGATAAACTTGAGTCTCTCCTAAATCCCATTTACCCCACCCTGAATCTAGACATTCATGTGCTCATAGAATCCAGAGAAGTTATCAGTGGAAATGTATGAATCAAATCAGAATACTGGTTTATGACTCTTGAGTAGATTTTTTTCTTTATAGGCACAATTATTTATTATCTAAGAATGCAGGGATTCTCAGGGGTCCTTGTTACTTCTGCACATTGTTCTATGAGGCCACAACATTTTGTATAATATTTCTAAGGCACCTTTTAATTCTTCTCCCTCATCTCCTCCTTTCATCACTGTTCAGGCAGGTTCCTCAAAGGTCAAGGGACATATGATATTCAAACATATTGAATGCAGATGTGAGAATCCTAAAATCATCTCTTAGGACACACACTGCATACGTGTATGTAAACAGAGGTTTCTCTGTCTCACAGCTGCTTCCAACTAATCACTCAGAGGCTTAGCATTAATTACAAACTGCCTGGCCTGCAGCTCATTAGTAACTATCTCTTACATTTAAATCAACCCATTTCTATTAATCTATGTGTTGTCATGTGGCCCATGGCTTTACCTGTGGCCTAGTACATGTTGCTGCTCCGGTGGCCGGCATCTCCCCCTGACTCCATCCTTCTTCTCCCTGTGTTCAGTTTGGCTTTCCCACCTAGCTATATTCTGCATTGCTATAAGCCAAGTAGCTATTTTGCTGTTGTTTTTGTTTTTCAAGACAGGATTTCTTTGTGAGGCTTTGGACCCTGTCCTGGCACTTGCTCTATTGACTAGGCTGGCATGGAACTCACATTGATTCACCTGCCTTTGTTTCCCAGATGCTAGTATTAAAGGTGTGAGCCACCACCAGCTGGCCAAAGCAGCTCTTATTATCAACCAATGAGAACAACATACATTCATAGCATACAGAAGGGTTATCTCACAGCATTTGTGTAAACATGAAAAGCAACACCATTCTATTCTTAAACTGCTTTTGTTTCAGTGTATGTGTATGTGTGTGTATATAATGAATACATATATATGCATATATGTACATATGAATTTATAAAAATAATACGTATGCTTGATGAGATGACCATTGGGTAAAGTACTCACTGAGAAAGCATGAGGATCTGAGTTCAAATCTCAGAAAATACATAAAAACCAGATGCAGTGGTACCCCTTTATATCCCCACAGTTGGACCCCTCTGTAACCATTCTGTCTGGGGCACGCCCCTGTGACCCCACTGTCTGGGGCACACCCCTGTGACCCCACCCTCTGGGGCACACCCCTCTGTAACCATACTGTCTGGGCTATCCCCCAGTGACCCCACTGTTTGTGGGACCCCTCTGAGACCCCAATGTGAAAGGGGAAGAGAATAGTAGGATTCTGGGGACCAATTGGTCAGAAAGTGTAGCTGAATCAGTGAGCTACAAATTCTGTGAGAAACCCTTCCTAAAACATAATGTGAAAAGCAATAGTGAAAACTTCCTGACCTCTAGCCTCTCCACCTTACCGTAGATGCAAATAAATGAGCTTGCAAACACATATGCAATATGCCACACATGCAAACATTCATACGCACACTGCTATTTGTAATGAGCTTAGCATTAATTTTTAGGTAAATTAATATTTTAAGATTTCGTTTTAGATTCTAGCATGGTAAACCTTGGCACCTACAACACACCTGAAGACATTTGGAATCTTTGGTATTATTCTGGTATACAAAGATAACAGAACTGTCCTAAAGCAGATGCAGGGGTAAACTGGTGCATCCATCCCTGGGACACTACCTGGCAGTCAAGAAAATTGAAGTGCCTGAATCTTGCAGCAGACAATCAGGATCTCAAGTAACTGACATGCTTGAAGGAAGTGATTCATTTACATAGGCACTAGTTACTTTTTCTGTTGCTGTGATAAAATGCCATGGCCAAAAGCAACTTGGGGAAGAAAGAGTTTATTTTCACTTCCAGTTCCAGAGGAAAACCCATGATAGTGAGGAAGGCTTAGCATAGAAACAGGAGCAGAAAGCTGGCTGAGCACATGTCGTCACAGAAGAAGCCACGAACGTAAACTGAAAAATGGAGCAAGGCTATAAACTCTCAATGGCCATATCCAGCAGCTTATTTCTTTCTGCAAGACTATGTACAGGTCTTAAAAGTTACCCCATTCCCTAAGCAGAGATAGCAACACAGAACATAGTGTTCAAATGCATGACGAACCTATGGGAACATTTCTTATTCAAACCATCATACATAGTGTTCCTTCATGGTGAAATAACAGCATTGTTGTGTGCTTATCCACATTTATAAATGAGAGCCAACTTCTACATCTATGTACCAAAACAAACAAAACAACCCCCCCAAAAAAAACCATCTACTATAAAACAGTGAAATTTGAATAAGGGATGTATGTAAGTTAATAGTGCCCTACCATTATCAGTTTTAAAATGTGTTATGAGTATGTAAAAAATTATAATTGAGAGAAGAGCACACCAGATTATATAATACATGTATGGTTATGTATTAAAATGATACAACTGCCTTATAATTACCTTACAATTAGATAATAAAAATTTAGTTGTATGAAAATTACAGAGGCATAGAGGTTTATTGTTTAAAGTGCTTGATGTATAAACATGACAGTCTGAGTTCAGATCCCCATCATCCACATAACAGTCAGCCATGGGAGCCTAACCCCCCCTCCCAGCTAGGAAGAAGGAGACAGGTGGGTTATGGGACTTCCTGACTAGCCAATCTAATGAAAGTGATGAGGCCCAGGGTTAGTGGAAGATACTGTCTCAAAATATATGGTGGAGAGTGATTAAGAAAGTCACTAAGTATTGAATTTTGGCCTCCACACATGTATGCACAGATACACATAGCAATACATATATGTGAACCAACATACATACACTACAAAGGCACAATCACAAAGAAAGGGAAAATTTTGTGTGTGTGTGTGTGTGTGTGTGAGAGAGAGAGAGAGAGAGAGAGAGAGAGAGTGATGCTTTATTAACTAAAACAAAGGTAAAGAGAATAGAAAGGATCTCTGTGGAAACCTGGGAACCCACCTCTCTTATCCTTCACTACATTTCACTGCACTCTTCTTAAAATGAATTCCAAACCTTTGCTCCAACCCTTTCTTCCTCCTAAAACTTGTGCCCCCATCTTCCATCTCTGATTCTGTCTCATAATTTAGTCTCAGTTTAAATGGATTTCCTTGGAGTTGACCATGGTATATAAGGCAGCCCCCGAGCCATGTTCTGTGTTCTCTTGGTTCAGCTCGCACCGTGACACTTCACCAGCCTGGACCCAAGATCATGGGAAGCCCACCCAAACTGGAAACAGATAGGCTCCGTGAATTTGCTTTTCCATACACTCTCGTCTTCGGCTTAAATCGGATCAACATTCTTAGTGTTGAAAACGCTTAGTCAGTTTGCAGTTGCATGGCTGAATTCATAACATCTGTGTGTGATTTGAGCTGCTGTAGCCCCTTCTGAATGGACAGTTCATTCCCTAAAATTCAAATGTAACTGGGTGTTGTGTACTTTATCAGGATTTCTATAAGAGTAGATTATCTTATACGACTCAGCAATTTGTCTCAAGATACACGTGCAGACTCGTGAGAGGAACCTACTTCCATGCTAAGTCATTCTAGTGCTGAAGTTTAGGTCTGGGATGAACCCTTAGCCCTGTTGAAAGGGTAGAACATTAATAGAGGTGGAATGAGAGCCCTTAGGTAGTATTTGGATGTGCATAATCGTCATGGACTAAACGTATTATAGTCCTTCCTGTCTCTTTTCAACCAATACAGCCAGAGCAACATGCTGTCCTACTAAGAGACGCTGCCCTTCTTCCGGACAACCAGTCACAGACTGCAATCTCCAAAATGGTTGGTCAATTTTAATATTTTTGCTTTCTAGGTTTTTTTATACTCTGGTATTTTGTCTAAAGCATTTATATATATATATATATATATATATATATATATAAATAAAATTTATATATTCCTATTGGAATCATATCATATTTTGTTTGATTTGTTGTTATTTGGAACTTTGGGCAACAACCATATTTTCTGTGTATTAGTACTTGAAAATTTTGACTTGAGCTATCAGGATGTCCAGTGTTGCCAGCATGTGCAGGTCAGTGAATATGGTCAGAGCTCAGTAAAACACTAACACATGAGGGGTTCTGCTTGCTTTCAGATGTCTCACATGTTAATATGTCCTAGGACTCTCCACAGCATGTCTGATACATGCTTTTGTCTCTTAGAAACCACATAGTTTGACCTTGCTATAATTCTTTTCCCCCATCTTTTGTTCTATTCAATGTTTTGTTTTCAACTAGCGTCTATTGTTGTTTCTAATTCTCCTATGACTAACCTGTTATTTTCAAACTTTTAAAATTAATCTGTAAAGATCTCCAGAGTTTAAAAAATTATTGGATTATGGTTAACATGAAATAAATATGAGATGAGATTTACACATTATGTAGGTGATTTACAATGACCTCAAAAAATTGATAACTGATGAAGACCTTAAAGATTCTTATAATAAAACTGATATTACCCATTATATCATGTGTAGTAAAATAAAAATAATGCCTTTTTATGAGCTTTGTTGATAAAATAAGACCTAACACTACTTTTTTTTTTTTAATTGGGCTTTGAGATGAACAATCAAAAGTCTCAGCAGGCCAATTTTGGGTAAAGGTTACTAGAAATTTTAGTAACTATAAGAAAAATGGTATAACTATAATCTACATGGTTAAAATTACAAGCAAACTTAGAAAGGATTCTTCTTAGAAAATGTTTAAGGCCAATATTAGAATGACTTATAAGTGAAGTTCATATAAGGGACAAGCATTTTTGAAACCCAAGGAGAGACATGAAACTATCCAGGTTTGGTCCATCAGAGTAGAAGTCTCCTATGATAGTGAATCATGTCTCTGAAACCCAAGGACAGATGTGAAACTATCCAGGTTTGGTTCATCAGAGTAGAAGTCTCCTATGTTAGTGAATCATGGCTCTGAAACCCAAGGACAGATGTGAAACTATCCAGGTTTGGTTCATCAGAGTAGAAGTCTCCTATGATAGTGAATCATGGCTCTGAACTTCATGGGATTTGGGATCACCTTAGCCCAGTCTATGGAATGGGCTCCTACACTAATATTAAGAATACAGTGAGCCCAGCACCAATCAACTCTCCATGTTTCTAGAAGGTGGATACAAGGTGACCAGATTTCTCAGGCTTCTGCCACCATTCCCTTCCCTATTAAAGGACAGTGTTTTTAAACCATGAGTAAAATCAAGCCATCCCTTCTTTAAACTACTTTTTGACAGCTAGGTATAACTAATCCATCTTCTGTATCCGATGCTGTCAGAGAAGGACACCTAACACCTGGCTGAGACCTGGAATACTTGCTCATGTGTCTATGTGATGTAAGTAGGGCCAAAGTCAACACTCGTTCTTTGCATGCCAACAGCAGCAAAGACATCATATGAAGATTTCTTATCCTTGTCTCTACAAAAAAATATCCTATTTGGAAACAACCTGAGAAAGGACAGTTTTATTTGGTTATATGATTTCAGAGACTTCAGTCCACTGTAACAGAAAAGGTGTGATGAAATGCCTCCATATGTGGGCCCCTCCAGGAAGCATAAAGCAAGTTCAGACTACTACAGGCCAGAGATTTAAGGTGCAGATGCCCTCCCTTAGGAGCCTACTTTTGTCAGAAAGATCCTACCCACTTAAAGGAACTCCAGGCTTCCAAATAGCGCTGCAAGATAGATAAAGAGAATTCCCACCATGAACCTAAGGGAAATTTCACTTTCCAACTATAGCAGGCAATTTAAACTTAATTCACTCTGATTGCTAAGCAACCGAGACAAAGATTGTCGACAACTAACAGCCCTATGAACTTGGAGTGGTAGGCATCCTTCTCATTCTGGCACCCGAATGGTGGGACAGGAGGGTGACCAGTTTGAGGCCAGCCTGGGCTAAATAGGAAATATCGCTTCAAAAATAAACAAGTGGGGTTGGAGAAGTGGCTCAGCTGTCAAAAGTATGATATTCTCCCAGAGCCTGAAGCGAGTGTCCCACATCGTCATCACTGCCTGTAACTTCAGCACCAGAGGACCTGACACCCTCTTTTGACCTCTGTAGATACACACACTCCTGCACACATGTAATGCATACACACACTCCTGCACACATGTAATGCATACACATAATTGAAAATGGAATATAAAAGCTAACAATGGAAAAAGAAAAAAAATAGCAGCATTAATAGTCAAAAACTAAATTGAAAAGTTTGTGAATTAAATTCATTGCTATAATTAATGTGTGTTTGCCTTGAAAAACTTGGTGTTCTTCATATGCCCAAAGGGTTTTTCTTAACATGAAGATTTTATGCAACTGGCTATTTCAAAGGTCATTGATTTAAACCAATTTTAATAATTGTAAAAATGAATGTAGGAGTTATTTTCTGCATATGATATTCAAACCTGGATATGAATTGTTCTTCTCTGGAAAGTAAAATGCAAAATATTGTGATGGAAAGCAGGAAAGCAAAGACCTGTGTAAATGGCTGATCTCACTGTCCTTGTAAACATGGTTGCGTCTGCAGAATTTTTATAGCTGAATATTCTTACCCGCTGCTGCAATTGCAAAATTGAACTCTTCTTCATTGTTTATGCCACCATAACTACAATGAAAGTGAAATTTTACAGTTGGAATGAAGAGAGTTTATCATAGGGACTGTATATTCTTTGTGGTTCTTAGTTCATTTGGTATTTGATAGGAATTATAGGTTTCCCGATGAAAGAAAAATAACGTTTGATGACTTATTTTTTCCAAGACATTAAATAACAAGCTGAACATGCATTCCAAGGGGTTTTCAATCTGTCACATAAAACAGGCAACTTCGCCTCTCACCAAAAATATTAGCAATGAATTTCTCTATCAACAGCAGCCTGAAAATACTACTCCATCAGCATATTGCTGGACTTACGCACGGTGCTTTGGGGGGTATTTCCTTGTCAGAGTTCATAAATAAATGAAAACCAATTTCTCTTCTGAATCCACTAAGATATTATTTATATACTGAACTGTTCTTAAAGTAACTGATTGAAACAAAATCACAAACCCTTTGGCAATTACCAAGAAGGAGCTGAATGAAAGTCATCCATGTGAAAACTCTGGCATGGACAGTTAGTGCCTTTTTTCATGACTGACAAAGACTGGGAGCCACCGAGATGCCCTTCAGTAGGTCAATAGATAAAGAAATTGAAATCCACAGACACACAGAGCCTTTAAAATCCACAGCCACACAGAGCCTTTTAGTTGATGATCAGTATAACATGAAGAGATATGCCAGTCCTGAAGCACTTTACCCAAAGGGCTGTCTCTCCAGTGCTTGGGAAGGTATTTTAATCTAACACATTAATAATAAGGTAGCACTGATATGTTTTAATCCATATTCAGACAAAGTTTTAAAAACGTGCTTAAGTCACTTAGACAACTGGAAAGCAAACCCTAGGTATTTGTTGGAAAAGGATATTTAGGAGACATTTTCATTTAAAAAAATCTGGATGCCTAATTCTAAGTATCTGAAGGTGAATACAAAGTCATTATTATTGTTTAATTTTATTTCTGATTGACCAATATGTTCCACTCATCTGAAATGGCTCTCGTACATATGTTTGTATGTATGTATGTATATGTGTGTGAATATATTATGTATGGCTATTTTCCATATTTCAGAAACCACATTCCATTGCTTTATTTCCCAAGATCCTTTCCATCAAGCTTCCATCATTTTCTCTTGCTGAACCCTATATAATCGTGGTGGGATCATGGCTGTGGGGTGAATGGGTGGATTAAAGAGGGCTTGTTAATATGTTAGACATAATTGTAATCTTGCTGGAAGTCCCTAAAGTATCTATTCTTTTATCTTACATCACTTCTCCATCTTGGAATGATACCACACACATAAAAAGGCTCAGTAAGCTGTTTCTGAATGATGATGGACAGAATGTGTTCTTAGTGATTAACAGACAAGGTTGCTTTGTTGCAGTGGTGAGTTATAAAGTTAAAGGCAGGCCTTTCCTCCCCATGCTTTTTCTATATTCTCTCTGAGGGAGGGAACAACTCACAAAATAAAAGGCACAGCTTTGTAATTTGTCATGCATTGATCTGAGTTTAGAGTGTAATTTGTTTTAATACATTAAATATTTGCTACTTTGCTTCTTTGTTCTCACATAATCCTTGGCATTATTGCTTTTATTGACAGAAGTATTAGTCATACTGCTATACTTATTATGAACAAAGAGCACAGTGATCGCTCTTTCCATCATTTTCTGCAGTGCTTTACTGCCTGTACCACCCAGTTAACAATTAAATTGAATCCTGCCTTGGATAAGTATGGTTTCCCAATTAAACAATAAAATGTTGTAAGACAAGGTTATTCTTTAGACTTCCTGTGGTTCCAATACAATATTTCTTTTTGCTTAATTTTATTTTATGTGTTGTGATTGTAAAAGTACTTTATTTCTCATATTATAAGCTTGATTTATTCTTATTTTGTGCCCTCTATCAGGCTACCTTTTCTTTCATTCCTCATCTCTCCCTCTCTCCATCTATCCCTCTCCCTTCCCTTCCCTCTTCCCCTTCTTAGAGTGAGCAATTTATATTCATTATGCTCCCTTTGTAGACTAGAAATTGCATTAATTTTGAAATCCACTAGTTCATAAACACAAGACTAATAAGAACTTGTCTTACATGGACAACACTGTGCTCTGCTCATTGTTTTATTGCTAACACACAATACAGTGCCTGAAAAGAGTAGATGTTTAAATGAGATTGTTCAAGGAATAAATGAGCTGGGGCA